CAACAGTCGCGTTGAGAGCTCGAATGTATTCGGGAAGTTCTGCCAGAGGTTTCGTTTGAAGTATTTGTTGGATATCAGCCAAGTGATCAACGTAAGTGAGCTCTACCCTCAGATTGGCAATTGTCTTGCCGTTTGGTTGGATGTACTTGAACTCTTTGCTGTTGTGTACGTAACCAATCTTGGTAACATTGTCGATGGGCATGGTCGTCCATAGCGTCTTGAAGTCAGTGGCATACGGTACTTTCCTCGCGACGAATTTGAGAACATCTTCTTTGGTCAGCGCTCGGAAGGCATCCCGGATCTCCCGTCGCTTATTATACTCAATACGACCTTGGTCCTTAGCTGGACGAGTGAACTTCAAGGTATACGCATGGAGAGTTTGGGGAATCTTGCTAACTCGGACATAGTTGCTCCGAACTACTATCTCTCCGTTGGTCGAGGATGCATCTTCGTTGCGGAGCTTCGGGCAAATGCCGTCTTGTCGCACCCTCGGAGGTGGATCTATGGGTGGTGGATGGGGAACCTCATCGACACTTCCGAGATCCGGCCTATCTATCGCTACTCGCTGGGGTTTGTTTGCTGACTTAGGTGGCATACTGTTATTTCTTCCTAATCAGCGGTTCGGAAACAAGTGAGAGTATGTGTATCAGTGTCGTTGAATTGCCAGATGTTGGCGAGAGTGTGATGATGAGTTCCAGATAACGAGATATCGGCACCTTGATATATGCTACGAAGCTGGTTGTTGAGAGGTCAGCAAGCAGATTGTAGTTTGAACAATCACAGGATTGTTAGACAATGGTGTAGCATGTGCAGCCAAACGAGTGGATGTTACAGATGTCGCAGGCATTGTCTCATGCTCAACTACAAATGGCCACCAGTCGAGATGAGTCCTTGTAATGCTTTTCTAGCTCCGAGAATAACCCTGAACGAAGTGATTGATCATGCGCGAAGTGGCTTTCAGCGACGGAGGAACCTGAAGTCGGCTTTACGTGAGTTCCTTGGAGAGGAAGAGCTCGTCAGACTAGGATTGCTCCTTCAAACCTTGGAAGAAAAGCTTGACGCTTGCTTGAATGTCTCGATGTGTATGTTCCACTCAGGTGATAGCAGAATGTCTTGGATTCCATGCTCAGTAGGTTAGCAGGAATGTCTCATCCCCAGACTAGGTACTCAGTCTCCGTATTGTACTGGTGCTTCACTGAGCTCTTCAATCGTCAAGCAGATACCTACACGGCATGCCGACATTTGCGAGACTTTGGGATACAGGACCTGTACTCTCCAAGCCTAACAAGATCAGGCCCGTTCCGGGTGGCAGAGACATTCGTACTTTGCTTATTCGGGAAGCATACGAAAGCGCATCAGTGTTGGTCAGCATGCTCATCGTAAAAAGAAAGTAAGGCGCACTTTCCACACCCAGGGAGGTACGAAATAGCATCAATATCAGGCGTCCAGAGGACCAAACCGCACGGTGATCCTATGTCTTTTGTCAGCACATTTGCACATTGCATCGTCTCATCTACATGAGGAAGGGGCGCATATTGAATGTGATGATCCTGCATCGTGTTGTGTTACAGAAACGTACGTACAGCTTGTTGTTGCCCCGCGGCCGATCGTGCGGAATTCCGATCGGTAGGTCGCGCCACGATTTGATTGGCCGCTGGCAAGGCTCCACCTTTTACAACCCACCTTGCTTTGTAATTCACTGTATACTCACCGCCTAACCATGTAACGATTGGGTTAGACTTTTTCGTCCGCTTTGGGTTACACAGTGGAGCGATAATGCCAAGTGGAACGTGGTGAGCTTGATGGGGGAAGAGCTTCGAGGCATTTGAGGTATCTAAGAGAAGGTGCGAGATACATGATAGTGGAACATAAATAGACTACTGCCCCGCCAGTACAAGCGTTCTTTACTCTCAATCAACAATAACAACAACAATATCTACTCCATCACACACCCAATCAATACATACGTTCGCCGCCCATACATCACTCACTCACCCAACATGTCCCTCACCTTCCACAAGATGGCCGTCGCGCCAGCCATCTCCGCCCTCAAAAACGCCCACTTCGTCGTCTCCAAAGGCTACGAACATGCCAAAGCGTCCGACCCAAACACCTTCCTGACCGCCTCTCTCCACCCTGACATGAAGGACTTCCGCTACCAAATCTACCGTCTCACCGACGCTGCCAAGTTCATTCCCAGCCGAGTGAACCCCAGCCTCGAAGGCATAACGCTCCCCGACGAAGAGCAGACCTTCCCCGAGCTACTTGAGCGCATCGAGAAGTGCACCAAGTACCTCGAGAGCTTTTCCGAGAAAGACTTCGAGGGCAAGCAGGATGACGAGGTGATTATCAAGTTCCCCGGTGGCCAGAAGCAGGTCAGGATGCCGGCGGCAGAGTACATTAGCAGGTTTGCGCATCCGAACATGTGGTAAGTGGTCTGTTTTCGAGTGGCAAGGAGCTTTTGCTGATCACTACAGGTTCCACATTGTGACTGCGTACGACATATTGAGGATGAAGGGCGTTGATGTGGGAAAGATGGACTTCTTGAACGGTGCAGGCGGAATTACCATTGAGGATGTTCCCCAGCAGTAGACGTGAGCAGTACAGATGTGCAGCGACGTTCTGGATGAAAGGTGACACCTGGGCGGAAAGCAATATATGAACAACGATGAATGAATATTACGCACGACTTCATGCTCTTCACACTAATTACTGCGAAGTCGAATGGATAACTATAGCAGCCACAAGAGCATCCATCGCCGAACTCTGCGTGCTTGCATTCGCCGGGCTGATCCACGGCCCAGCCCAATTCACGCTGAATACAGGTAAACCATCTGGTGTGACTTTCCTATCCCGTGTCCAGATAGACTCCGCATTCCTGCGAATGGCATTTGCGAAGATTTTGTCCGGTGCTACACTGTGCAGCTTGACCAGGTTCCGCATGAAGACCCCTTTGAACTGAGCGCCATCGTCACCACAATCAGGCTCGCATTCGTCGTGTACGATACCATCCTCATCCGAGAGTGCGATGAGTGCCGCCCGCGCGAGATGAACTGCGAGACTGAGAGGTGTGACTTCTCGTGTATTCCCAGCTCGGTATAGTTCGGCGAGACCTCCCAAGATAACACCTTGGTTGTAGGACCACGCAGTCTTGTTATTGTTCTCGCAGTCCTCGGTTAGACCGTCGTTGATTATACCGTCATCTGTGATCATTCCGCTTTCGAGGAACCATTGTAAACTTTCCTCCGCCCAAGCCAGATATGTGGCTCTTTTCCTACGGCCCTGGGCGCGGTTTGCCAGATGCGCGGCTGTGCTGAAGAAGAGTTCGTTGGCAATGGCATTTACGTAGTCCTTCTTCCAGCTCCAGTATATACCGCCGTTAAAGCAGTAAGTGCCCCAGGTGCGTGATACAGCGATGAATATATCTTCCGCAAGGACAAGATAAGCGGCTTCGGAGGTGACGTCGTATGCGTTGATCCAGGCCAGAGCCCACCACAGGTCGTCGTCGTAGAAGCCATCTAACCAGTCGCGATAGTCAGGGATGTCATCAGGGTGGTAAAAAGAGTTGGAGCCATGATTGGAAGATGTCCTCTGGAAGATAACCCGCCCACCATTGTCATACCAGTTGGGTGGATATGTGACATGAAGGTTGCTGGTATTCGGGTCGAGGTATTTTGTGTACCCAGTTTCAAGGCTAGTTACGTCAATGGCGACAAGCGTCGTGTTGTTTGATCGAGGATCCTCAATACCCGGCTGCGGGTTCTTGGCCGGCGCCTTCAGCAAAGCAGTCACGAACACGTCTCTTGCCAGGTCTCGCAATAGTATATCTGCAGGAGCTGCTTTCGCAAAATCGCCGATCATAGTCATAATGTTCGCACCGTTCCACCATCCTGTAGACTCCCAAAGGCCAGTGCTAGTGTTGTACCAATCTTGCAGAGTCTCGAGCGCCAGTTCGGTACGGAGTATAGGATCATGGTTTCCACTGTAGTCGCTTTGCGATGAAATGTTAGGGATGAATATGAGGAAGAAAAGGAGATATCGAACGAAAAATGTAGACAGCATGACGAATCAAGACTCTAGAAGCGACGCGCATCAATAAAAAGTGATACAGTCGGTATCAGATGCAAATAGGGATGCTAGTAGAAGTTCCAAACAGGAATATGCGATAGTTGAGCCCGTGGCACACATTCGCAGTCTTTACAATATTTCCACTCTTACAGTCGTATGTCGTACCTGCTCAGCGTACGTTCATCACACAAGAACGGCCCATAGCTTGAGGAGGCGACAGTCATCCCCGTAATAGCGGAAGGTGGCGAGAGAAATTGAAGAATGGTCTTACCTCTTATCAATCAACGGTACTTGACCGCCAGGTAGCTGTTGCGAGAGCTTCGATGGTCCTGCACTAGAAGATGCTGATAATCTTCTTAAGGAAGGCGGGTGAACTGACTGCGTTGCAGAGATCGTAAGCGCACCCAGTTGAAGTAATGTTACAGCAGAAAGGCATGCGCGCATCATGAGGTTGTGTCTGCAAACACCTTTTCGAGATCTCCGTATCAGGGCACGTGGCGGGATATCATAGAATGCTTGCTTGCGATGTGAACGTACGCTTCAGATCTTGGATATGACGGCGCGACAGAGAGCTTGGAAGAGAGAGGGCTTGCGCAAGTTCTCAAAGCCACATGCTTGTGTCACGGTACACCAATCTTGAGGTTGTTCGCGCCGAGTACCCCGCTACCATCCCTGAGGTGATCAACTAGACCTAACTAGCTCGTGATTATCATCGCGCTGGCCGGTCTTGACCAGAAATAGCCAGGACAATCCCAGTAATGTCTTTGCTTGTTCAAAATAGGGATCCGATCGAGAAATGGGCTTCGCGGTTTGTTGCGAGAGCGTAAAGGACGCAGTCGCAGTCGCAGTCGCAGTCGCAGTCGCAGTCGCATGTTCGTCCTTGCGCTCTATGCTTGTGCGATCCCAGAGTAATGTCTGGTCGCTTAAAAAGATCAAGCGATCAGGATATCATTACCAAGATCCTTAACCTCTTCCACCCAACAGTTCCCCACCCCAACCCCGGCTTCATCTTTGAATCGCCAGATAGTTTCCAGCACTCGCTTAGACGTATGCAAATAACCCCAAAACATCTGGCCATACAACTCGTCTAGTGTATTCATAATCCACTCACGCTGACTAGGATCCTCGCTCTCAGCACCCGCAAGGAATAACGGCCAACAAATCGATTTGAAGAGCGCATCGCCCGGCTTGAGGTGTGAGATATGCTGGACAACGTCATCAGCGAGAGCGGTGAGACTAACAAGTGCTTCGCCACTCGCTGGATCAAGAAGAGGATTTGTAGAGGGGAGGACGCGCGCGAGATAGATGCAGACTGCCGAGCGATGGGCGGAGGCTATACGGATGCGCTTTTGGATGTCGTCGAGAGGTGAGGCGCGCTCAAAGTCGACGGACCATGCGATAGGGTCAAAGTCGAGAGCGCGTTGAAGTAGTACGCCGACCTGCTGTTGGAGGTATATGGGGGTGCTTGTTCCGGAAGGCGAGCCGTGTGTATCCGGCAATGCGAAGGACTCGAGCATTACGCGTAACAGCGGCCCGGGACAGGAGAGGTAGTTGTTTGTTTCTGCGTATCGAAGGATAGGGTCCAGCTCGATAGTCTCTGGGATTAACGCGGGGAGTGTCGTAAAAGTGAAGGTTGAACCAAGAATGTAGAATACAAGAAAGTCAGAAAGAATTGTTTGCCGAAGTCTGCTCATCGGTCGCTGGAGGTATGGCGGTTCCCCTAGGAGTTTGATGAGCTTTAGCGCCCCGTCCATGTGTACCTTCCATTTGTCTCTGCCTGATTCCACCAGAGCATAGTTAACGAAAAGCAGAATAGTGATCAAGATGAGGTCAATGTTTGACGTGTTCACGGAGGTCACACTCTTTGCCAGTAGGGATAGCGCTTGTTGCTTCGCCACGAGTGCGTCCCTATAGGACGACTTCAACGGGCCACCAAACCGGCTTACAGCTTGGTAGTATGCCATTACCGTTGGACTTTGCTCGCCTTGATAGGCCGACTGACCCATCGGGTTGCGTGTTATGTTGAAGACGTGAAATGCTGAGTTTGCGACAATGATCTGCAGGAGCAATGGATAAGCAGATGTAGCGGGGATGAGATCGCGGATAGGGTTTTGCCCCGGTTCATCGTATACAACCATGACTTCGCACAACTGTGTCGCGAAGTGGTACAGATAGTACCGCGAGTTACGATCGAGATCATTGACTAGAGGATCCGTCATCTGCGGTTGTACAGCAGTCATCGCCATGGTCTGATTCTGCTCCTGTTCGGACATCCGGGAGAAGTCCGGTACCGAACTGGCCGGCACCATTTCGAAATCATTGTCCGATGATTGTTGTTGTTGTGACGAACCCTCGTGTTGCCATACCAAAGTCGGCGGTACATCTTGAGTCTTGGCTGCCCCTTCTGTCGCAGCAGCAACACCAGCAGGACTCTGCTCCATCTTCTCCTCATACCCTTTCCCCATCATCTTCCCACGACTTGCAACTCCGCGGTTCCATACAAACAGCTTGCCGTAGCCCAGACATTCTGTCCCGGCTGACAAACATTTCTGGCAGCTTGGCAGCGACCGATCGCACCTCCATCGTCGCTTCCGGCAATTGTGGCAGGCTTTGGTCGGGAGGTTAAAGGGCGTCACGCTCATTGGATGGACGCCATGCGAGATGTGTAAACGATTGACTGTATCGAGGTTGCCTGAAGTTTGGCGGGGTGGAGATCTTTCACGGTGGTTGTGGCGGTTGGAGCGTTGGGATCAATGCATTACTAACGTGATCAAGACTGATGTGGACGCAGGATTTCGTCACACGCGTTGCAGCGCAGCTACAGAGAGCGATGTTGACCGGGTGCGCAGACCGAGGATGAAGCAAGCAAATCGCATGTCTTCCGATGATGACAAAGACGGGATTGAGGCGAGAGTTGCGCACCTGGTTCGCTTGACCTGCCGTTCAGCCCAGACCCTGAGATATCACGCTAGGCTCAACGAAGAAGCCAAGACTCAATCTCTGCATTGATGGTCCACATCGTGACGGCTTTATGCTCAAACGTCACAGTCACCGCTAAGAGTCGCCTTTGCGAGTCTGTCTCTGAGGCTCAGTACCCGAATAAATGTCTTCCATTACACATAACAACAATGACCGCGGACATTGCGGAGTCCGAGAGGAGTTTATAGAAAGAAGAAAGGAAGTGAAGATATTAGGTCGCCTCAGTAATTTTATTCATCGCCTCGAATTATCCCGAGTCCTCTTTTGTAGCATACTTTGACGCAAGCACGGTTTAATCAAACAAGCTCCCACTTGCCACATACTCCTTTGATGGCTCTACGATAACGACTGCAATATCCAACACCAGACAGCCCATCATGGAGAACACCAACATGAACGATACTACCCCGAGCAACACCATGATGGAGCCTCCGAATCAAACCCCAAGCGACATGACTCCCAACGCATCTTCACCACCAGGCAAGATCGAAGAAGGAAACTTCCCTCGCGGTTCCTACACCCCCTCCGACATCGAACGCCTCGGCCGCGAACGCCCTTCAGCATTCCGTTCGCTGCCCCACGAGCTAGGTTTCTGCTTCGCCCTGCTCGGCTCCATGTTCGTGGCGGAATACATGATCTCAGGCTTCAACATCCTCCTCCCAGACCTCACCGAGGCTCTTCACATCCCGTCCAACGCACAGACATGGCCAGCCTCCGTGTTCTCATTAGTAACAGGCGCGTTCCTGCTACCGTTCGGTCGCCTGGCTGATATGTTTGGGGGCTACCTTGTGTTTTGCAGTGGGCTAGCTTGGTTCCTCATTTGGAGCATTATAGCGGGGTTCAGCCAGAACTATGTCATGTTAATCGTTTGTCGGGCGTTGCAAGGCTTTGGGCCTGCGGCGTTCTTGCCGAGTGGAATTATGTTGTTGGGTTCCATCTACCGGCCCGGACCTAGGAAGAATCTCGTCTTCAGCTTGTACGGTGCTTTTGCTCCCGTGGGCTTTTTCACTGGCATATTCTTTGCGGGTGTTGCGGCGCAGTTCGCAACATGGGGCTGGTTCTTCTGGATTGGATCCATCATCCTCGCTATCGTAGCCGTTGCGTCGTATCTATGTATACCAAATCCGAAAGAGGAGAAGGAGAAGGCGAAACAAGAGGGCAAGGGGGTAAAGATGGATTGGTGGGGGACAGCGACTGTGGTGCCGGGATTGGTGCTGGTGGTATTTGCGCTTACGGACGGAAGTCATGCTCCTCAAGGCTGGGCGACACCATACATCCCCGTCACCTTCGTTATCGGCTGGATCTTCCTGGGCGCATTCGTTTACATCGAAGGTTGGGTCGCTGAACAACCTCTCTTACCCCCCGACTTGTTCCGCGTCAAGGGTATGAAGCCGCTCGCACTCGCGCTGTTCTTCCAGTACGGCACCTTTGGTATCTTCATCTTCTACGCCAGCTTTTACATCGAACAAGTTGTAGGCGCCAGTCCACTGCTCACTGCCGCTTGGTTCACGCCCATGTGCGTCGGTGGACTCATCCTGGCCACTATCGGCGGATTGGTTCTGCATCTCTTACCAGGTCGCATCCTGCTCCTGATCAGCGGTGTAGCATACATCCTCTCGACACTTCTTTTCGCCATCTTACCCGTACACTTCAACTACTGGGCCTATATCTTTCCGGCTATGATCTGCGCTACGCTCGGTATTGACATCACCTACAACGTCAGCAACATCTTCATCACGACTTCATTACCGAAAGCGCGTCAGGGACTGGCGGGCTCATTCATGAACTCGCTGTTGTTCCTGGGTATCGCTGTATTCCTCTCCTTTGCCGATCTAGCAGTGAGTGAAACGGAAGAGAGAGGCCAAAGAGGAAGCTACAAAGTTGCTTTTTGGCTCGCTACTGCGCTTGCTGGAGCGGGTGTAATTATCATGTTCTTGGGTGTCAAGATTGGCAAGGCGAAGAGCGATTTAACAATCGGTGAGTGTTCCTGTACGAACTGCATTTGAAACATGTACTGACTTTGCACGCCCAATTTTAGAGGAAAGGGAAGAATTGGAGAATGAGTTGGTGAGAAGGAACACGAATGAGTGAAGAGATCTTGTAGTTATGGCGCGTCATTCCTGGATGTACAGTCCGGTTAGATTCTCTTCTCGTAGATACCTTATAATGCTAAATTGTCTTAATTAGCTATCTATTCTTCCTGGCGTGTTGGATCGAAGGGTAGTGTGTCAAGCGCGTAGAAGTGACAGATGTTCTCCGTACTCATTATACTAGTTCATTGTCATGACTTTGCCGATCACTCTAGCACTCTCGGTTTCTTTGTCACCCGCCAGCATGGCGTTGTAAGCCCTTTCTTCCTATACAAGATATTTGTAAGATTTTCTGATGGCGAGATGATCGCGATGATGTGAAGGTAAGCGATCAGCTCTGCACCCACGATGTGGTAGACTAGGGGAAATATTAGGCTTCGAACCGAGCAACGGTCTAAGGAGGAGAGGAGTGGTGTTGATTGTCCTCGACAGTGGAGGAAACCAGACAGGCGCACGTCGCGTATGCGCAATGAGGTTTTACCCCGCAGAAGCGTAGTATGTCCGCCTGTTATAGAGCTTGTCAAAGAACACGCGACGCGCCTCGTGGGGGAACGCGCTATGCTTACTCAGCAGGCTACTCTCGATGGCCGTCCCATCGCACCCTATTGACCACCAAACACAAGCAAGCTCTGCACACTGACCATACCGAATCCACGCTCCTGTAGCAGTTTTCGCCCACGATGGAGTGGAAATTCGGCGACGACCATCACCATGATTTTCCCAACGTCAGCCTCCTTCAACAGACGTAGCACCGCGCAAAGCGTCTCACCTGTCGACAGCACATCGTCCACCACGACGGCTGACTCGCAGCCAACGATTGCGCCTCGCTCTATCTCGATGCGCTTTCCGACATTGGTTTGACTGCGAGTCAAAGAAGAGATGTACGACGTATCCTTAGCGACGGAGATCGTCGGCGGGGGAAGCTTGCCAGCTTCGCGGATCGGTACGGGGGGCACTCCAACCAGCGAGGCCAATGCCGGCGCAAAGACAAGACCGCCCACTTCGCAACACACGATTGCGTCGATCTTGGCCCAGGTCTCAGTCAAATGACTCTCTAGTAGTGATGCGCAAAGAGTGAGGCCGCCTGGCTGCTGCGAGATACCAAGGACGTGACGGAATTGGATGTCTGGCTTGGGAAAATTGGGGACTGCGCGTACCATGTCGGCCAGTCGCTCTATGTCGTTGTGGACAAAATGGTGTAAGCCACTCTGAGCAAATTCATGCGCAGCTCTTGGCCCTGGTAAGTTGTTCTCGAAGATAAGGTTCAGACGATATGACAGGGCTGTCCCGTTTGCCTTGTTGTCGCCAACCACGCCACGGGCGACCCTTGAGCTCTCGCTGGTCTGAACGTGGACATCAACGACTCTGCTCTCCGGTACCAGATGAGAAAAGAATGCGACAGGTGCGTCGTCTCTCATCCCTGTGATGAACAAAACATCAACGTCCGCAGCTGCGGCATCATGCACGAGTTTCAGGAAGTGCTCCTCGGGCAATCTTGGTCGTCGTCGCACCTGCTCCTTGTAGAAGGCCGTCAGTTTTTCGCGATGCTCTTCTTTATACTCACGATCTTCCACAAGGCGCCTGAAATCAGCATGCGTGTACGTAGCGTATTCGCGTTTCGTAACATCACTAATGCGTACAACTCGCGCGTGAGTACAGTGTGTCGAGGTAGATTCGTTCTCTTGCATATCCGAGAAGGAAGAACACCATACGCTAGCACAATAGTCTTTGCCAGCACCATGTTCGCCAGTAACAAGAATGATCAACTTTGGCAATGGCGGTTTCGGCAGCGGACAAGTCCATGCCAAAACGTGGTGTGGGTCCATCACGCGTTTGAGACGACCAAGACGCACAGCATTCGGTCCGAAAGCTCTCTGCGCCAGCACTGCATCTCGAGGGTCTGGGCCAAGATCAGCTCCATAGATGCCGTTGCTCAACGGTAGCAAGCTCTCGACGACCTCATACACCCATTGTACAGAAGCTTGAGCAACCTTTGTACCATCTTCATCCCGAGGCCACACCCCGGTGATGACGCAAGCGAAGTCCCATTCTCGGCAACCGAAAGCAGTCGTATCTGGTGTAACCTCGCCAGCTCTGCCTCCGCCATGCAGTAGATGAAGATAGCAGAGCGACGATGGACGAGATTCGACTGCTGTGATTAAGCGATGAGCCATCCTCGGTCCTCCAATACCCTTGAGGAACACACAACGCTTGAAAGACGACGTCTTCCCACCACCGTGGCCACCGTGCATTGCGGACATGTACATCTCAGCTTCGAATACTTCAAAGCCGTCCATGGTTTTGAAATCATTCTCCGTTCCCCATATATTGCCCTTGAGCCTGGGTCTCATGTTCATATATGATGCGGTGGTGTCGAATGTGGTGATACCAAGGTTTAATCTTCCATTTTCCCAGTACAGGTATGCGTCGGCTGAGTAAGTATTGTCGTGCGCATTTGCGACCTTCTCTTCGAATTCTTTGAGTCTTCGTTTGGCATCGGCGTGATTGGTCAATGGGAGGACCCAGTTTCGTACGACGTAGGTGGGAGCGGGATAAGCCTTGAAGGTGACACT